TTTTACAACAAAATCCCCTTTTATTATTGCCCAATTAGTTCGACTTACAAATTATGCTTCAAACTTTTGCCACATTTGTTTCCCTCCTGGACATCCCTGCGTATACGCAATGCACTAATCAAGCTTCTCATGTTTCTCTACTTACAGGCAGCCACATGTAAACTGGGCTGAAATTCCCAGGATATGGTCAGCAACTTTACGAAGGTAACACAAAAACCAAAAAATACCAACACGCAAGACCAAAAAAAAAAAGAAAAACTTCATCTACAACTGCCAGCAACAGAGTGTACAAACTTTGCTGCCCACTTGATATGTTAAATCTGCGTGAATTTATCAACTTTGCTAATTAACAGCGTTTCCTCTTCGTCGCTCGCCATTTTTCAGCCCGAGGGGTCAACCAGAAACTAGTCCGAAATCTGTTTACATTTGCAACACGAGAAACTGTTGGCCCCACAGCAACACGGGGCCATAACTTGTTAACGGTTTCACTTATGTAAGTTCATTAGCAGCAGCATCCAGCCATCAATCAAATCAGCAAACTAAACTGGCCAACTGACTTGGTTAGTTTGCGTTTGTGTGGCTCTCGGGTGGAAATGAAATGAAAATTAGAATGAGCACACGCCACACACACGGAGATCGACCGACTGACGGAATGACAGGTGAGTTTTGTGTGTGGAGGGTGGATTGCAGGTGGATTGCCCATGTCCATGCTCTCGGTTCCGGGATCCGGAGTCCGGACCCTTGGACAATGCCCGAGGGCTACGCGTTGTCACGTGAGCGGCGAGCTGGGCAATCAACGAATCAGGCAACCAATCAAGCGGCGTGTGACATGCAACTGAAGCGTCTACGTGACCCCCAAGAGCACAGAATCCAATCCAATCCCAGCCCACCTTGATTCGAAAGACCACCCAGTGCAACCACAGTGGTGCAAGTGGTGCAGGGAGATTGTCCTCATTTGCTTTTACTTTGCATTTAAACTTGATGGTTAGACTTGTCTCTTTCCTTGATTTATACAACATCTCTTGATACAGAGACTAGATAAAGGACTTGAAGAAAAAAGAATTTAATGATTTTACAGAGTTAAAAGATAGAAGGTTAATCAGAGAAAAAATCTAAATATTTTAAAATAACTAATAAGAAGGTGTTCCTAATATTTAAAGAACCTTATATGCAACTTTTTGAGATCCCAATTAGTATTCATCTCTTAGCACCTTTCAAAACTTTTAGAAAATTTCAAAAACCACTTCAGTTACCTAAACTTCACACGGTTCCCAGAGTGGTTGGCTATATCACGCAGAGTTCTGAACTCCCTCATTGCATTATGAACTGGTCGAACGTGCGTCTGTCAAGCTGCGAGTCCTGGCCAAGGACATGGCCCCCCGACTCCCAGAAGCCCAGCCTTCAGCCTCGCCTGTCCGCACTCCTGACTGCTCTCGGCCAACTCAGACTGCCTCTCCCTATCCTCCTCCTGGCCATTTAGTCCCTGCGACACGTCAATGCTTTCATCATTTAATTAACTGCCTTCGTGTGGCTAAATGGCCAGGTGGCAACTGGATGGCAAGGATGCGTCCTGCGTCCACATCTCACGTTTCAATTCGCAAGGAGCCAGGAGAACGAGCCAATCCTTGGTGGCCCACTTTGCATGCCACGTTTGATTGATCGCCCATCGGGGTGCGAGAGCTAAACGGGAAATTCGACTGTCACTTTCCCTTGGCCAGTGGGAAATGGTGAGCCAGTCAGCGCAGACAGGACCAAATGATGTTAATGCAATGAGTAGTCGAAGAAAACTATTGACAGCTCCAAGCGATGGAAATTGTCACCTGGAAAATTAGTTTTTTGACAGGGCCATAAAAGACTATTCCCTTTCAGTAATTTTAGTAATTTAATAGAAGTCAAATGAGAGACTTAAGTAAATTAAAACTAGAAACAGGATATTTCTTATACGAATGAAACTATTACCATTATTTCAATACTTTTACCTGCACTCGTGTTTATCCACTCACTTATTACTTTTGCATCCAGATTATTTGTAAACTGAAACCGAAAAAGAAAAGCAAAGAGAACAAAGTCTTTCGCATTAAGAGATAAACTTGCGTGTGAATAATTTATGGTCTCCAAACAAGCCAAACCAACAAAAGGGAAAAGTTACTCCAACTGTATCTGTATCTGTGTACTCGTGCAGATTGAAAAGAAATCCAAAAGCGATATTTGCGTTGATTTATGCTTTTATTTTCTGCATTATATTCGAGTTTATATTTAAAACATTAGACAACGTCAGCGGCGACACAAAAGAGATAAAAACCGAGCGCTGAGGACTGCAAAAATAAAACTGCAGCTGCAGCAACAAAAACTCCAAACAAATGTAGGTGGAACGTCGAGCTGAAAAGCGGGCATACAAATATATATATATATATATCTGTATTCTATACAGATAAAGCGGCGGGCGAAAGGGCAGACAGACAAATAAAGCGGAAATGTTAACAGCAACGAATGGCGCCGGCGACAGGAGTAACGGGAAAGCAGAAAGAAGGGGAAATTCCAGGGGGTCTAGGGGATCTAGGGGATGTAGGGGGTCAGGGGCTGACTTTTCCTCCTACCGAATTTTCATTTTGTACACGATTTCCGCTTAAGCACATGGGACAAGCTATCCCAGCTCGATTTCCCCCAGACATGTGCGTATAATTTATGTTGCAATTTATATATGTAGTTCTCGTTTTCCGTTTTTTTTTTCGGGGAACTCCAATTGACTGTCAGTCGAGCGGTGAAATATTCAGTGGAAAAGACAGGTGAAGAGGCAGGTGAGAAGTTGCTGCAACGTTCTGTTGACATCAATACCTTGGAGAGGTGGAAAGAGCAACTGCACAGGTAAAAATGGGTTTTTTATTATATTTCTTATTATTGGGATACGAACTTTGCAATGCTCCATTCTGTGAAAGTATGTCAATATATTAATTGTATATAATTTTAATAAATTCATTTAAATTCACACTTTTATTATGAAATTATTATAATTATTATAATATTTTATTATACTTATTTCTTTGTGTATCGCATGCAGCAGTTAAAGCATTTTTCAAGTCCTTCCTTGAGCAGAAAAGATCAGGGAAAAAAAGGCAAACAAGACAATAAAGGGACCTGAATGAAAGCGGAAAATGCCAGTCAAGAGGGGTCCACAGAACAGAACAGAACACATTCCTTTGCAAATGTCAAGTAAATAGTTGTTTGCTCGACAATTGGCAACAGGCTGCCTAAGAACACGAACTCCTTCAGCACAATTCCCCCTTGGAGCTTTGTCTTTGTTCCTGTTCTTGGGCCTTAAGCCCGTTAAGGAAACTTTAAACATTAGTTGAGAAATAAGTGAGCAGATTCTGTAAGGGACAAGAGACAACTCGTTAGGCGCGCATTAAACGGGTATTACGTATTTAGGGAACTTAAATGGCAGTGGAAATAAAGTATTTAAGATAAGGTTTTCTATGGCTTTGTTTTACTTTAAACAATTTTATTTGGGTTAGAAGGTTCTGGCGTTTCTTTTTAACAATAAATAAATGATAAAATCTTTATTTACTAAATATTTATAAAATTTAACTGACTTTACAATACTTGACACCTTTTCATTTTCCCGTTTCAGCTACTTTTTCGTTTCATGAAAGGCAGTCAAATGTATTTTTAAAGAGGAGATTTTCCACCCATTTTTTTGCGTTAAGCATGGCTATTTTTATACCTTTATCATGTTATATATATCTCTGATAAATTGTCTGCTGGCTGCCATCTCCAACCCGTCCACTCAGCTTTAATTTGCCTGTCATTTCGCATTGCCTGCGAGGGCTAAGCTGACATTTGGCCCCGTCAACTGCCACTCCCGCCGCCTTTCTCCCACTTTTTTTCAGCCAAGCTGCGCACATTTTGTGAAATGTAAGCGAAAAAAGGGGAAAAACTTGCACAGGTCGCAAACCGGGGGCAAGAGAAAAAAAATGCCATGGAAAGAGGCTGGAATGAAACTAATTACGTGGACGACTTTACACGGAGATAAGACTTAAATCACCAAAATGAAATGAAATTTCCTTCAGAAAAAAGGGGGAAAATTTTGCCTCAAAACGTGCACAACGTCATTAGGCAAAAGGCTACAAAACAAAGTGTGAAAGCCAAGAACGCGACCACGAAGCGGGTTAATTACGCACAACAAACAATAAATTACTTGGTCCACGGAAATGCAAAAAAAAGGGTTGGAAAAAAAAAGATGAAATAAAGTGGGAGAAAATAAGAAAGAAATTAGTAAAAAGAGACCCTAATCAGCTTAGTGGGTTTTCTTTTTACCCCGAAAAGATGATTAAATTTCTGTGTCGAAATCAAAGGAACATTGCGTATACGCCATGTGTTCGCTAGAATTCCTGACCATACCCTAGTTTGATGTCCTTCGTTTCTCTCCTTCTCTGCTGCCACTTCTCTAAGCTCATTCTTCCTTTTTCTCTTTTTCCACTTAATTTCTTTGACTCTATCACTTTATCCGCTGGCTTTGTTTTTGCGAGCTCACACAAAAACAAAATATACTGAGGAAACCAACAAAAAAGAGGCGAAGGAATTTTTTAATTATAAAATGTGTTTATCCGGAATTAATTGTTTTCTGTTGTTGTTGCACTTTTCATTTTAGCAGCTGTCCCGAAAAAGTAATCCAACAAAAATAAAGTCTTTTTATCTCTGCATTTTTCTTTCACATTTCTCTTTGTTAAATTACTCGCATATAAAGCTTTGACTTTTTGTCGTGTTTAAAAGAGAGCAAAAATAAATGTATTCACCAAGGATTATTAACCTTTTTTAGAAGCATTTGACGGAGTATTTTCTTTGGAATTTAAAATGATTTCGAGGCCATACATTTTAAATAAAGATTTTGCAGAATTGTGACTTTTTCAATAATTCTGGAACAAACAAACTTAAACACATGATTTTTACAACAACTATAATAACAAGAAATCGTTCATATAAACCTGGAATTTGGCTTCAAATAGTAAAACCGACTCTGCCTTATTTCTACATTTGTTTTTTACAATAAGTTCCGGTATCTGTTTTCCTTACTCGTTGCAGTCTGAAGCAAAATGGCGCACAACTCAACATTGATCCGTAAGGCGAAAACAACCCGATTAGAGAACCCGTCGATAGCCCAGACTTATCGACAGCAGGTCGACGAGTACGGACCGTCGAAAGATAAGATTTCCAAAGTGAGTAACAATCGACGCACCAAGACATCCAAACAGCAGATGCCGGAACCACCAAAAGATATTATCCACAATATGAGCAGGATGAGTAATCCGTTTGATATGGCCCAGTCTTCCAAAAATGCGATCAGAGTTGCCGGAGGTGGCGGTGCAGCAGTGACTTCAAAATACCAAAGCCGTGTTACTCTAAACAGCCAACCATCCAAAACTGTTCGACCCTCGGTGACTACAGCTAGCTTTCAAAAACTGACACCCAAGGAGATAAAGGAGCTCAAGGAAACCAAAGAATTCAAAGTTTTTAAGGAACCCAAAGAAATCCGATGTTTTAAGGAACCCAAGGAGCTTAAAGAACTTAGGGAACACAAAGAGCAGAAGGAGCCCAGGGAACTGAAGGAACCTAAAGAACCCAAAGAAACCAAGGATCCCAAGGTTAAGGGTGCCGATAAATCACCCCATCTCAGTCATCGTTCCACCCGTCATAACACCAATCGCACCAAGAACTATTTCGATAAATACCTTAAGTTCGCCTTCGATCTAAGTACTCCCGAGGGAGTTAAGAAGCTGGAGGACCATTTCTTTCCCAACCAAATCCCAAATGCTACTGGCAGCTTGAACCCTAAGCAAGAGGAATAATTAAATCACGATTTTGATCACTTTAAAGGCGAATTATGTTGTGCCCAAATTTTCAAGTTTTTTACAAAATGATTTTTAAATTGCAGCGAACCTTTCTTCTGAAATCAAATTGGAAAATTGTCAAATGCAAATGTTATACAAGTTAATAAATCGAAATCTTATGATTTTCTTGTTAATTATGTTAATTAAAGTAGAGTTTCGTGAATTTATTAAAAATATTATTAAAATTTAAATTATAAAACTATGTAAAAGAGCTAGAACTCTTACTAAAGGGATTTAAGCCCCAGAGTCTAATGAGCGTTAATAACACTTTAGTAAGTGTTTGCCAAAAAATAACATAAACAAGAGAACGCTATAGTCGGGTTGGTGTCTCGACTATCTAATACCCGTCACTCAGCTAAAGGGAGTGCGAACTCGGGTTGGTGTCCCGACTTATAATCGTAACTCAGCTAAAGGGAGTGCGAGGGAGATAGATATATAAATTTTGATTGCGTATAACTTTTTAATGAATGGTCCGATTTGAAAAATGTCTTCTACATTTCGAAAGGTATAAATATACACAACAAAATTGCATTTATACTTCTCGGAAATCTTTAAAGATGTGGGCGCAGGACTTATTTTAAAATCGTTAGTGGGCGATAGTGGGCGTTAGAGGGGGCGTGGCGCTCGCCTAAAAGAAACTTGCGCTGCGTAGGAAGTCAAAGAATATGTGTGGGAAATCTCAACCTTCTAGCTTTTGTAGTTTCTGAGATCTCAGCGTTCATACAGACGGACAGACGGACAGACGGACAGACAGACAGACAGACAGACAGACAGACGGACAGACGGACATGGCTAGATCGACTCGGCTAGTGACCCTGATCAAGAATATATATACTTTATGGGGTCGGAAACGCTTCCTTCTAGCTGTTACATACTTTTGCACGAATCTAGTATACCTTTTACTCTACGAGTAACGGGTATAAAAACTGCTGCACAAAGGGTCCATTTAAATAGTGGGTAATGTTTCTGCAGGGCTTAAATAAAATTTATTGTGTGGTCCAAATGACTCACTCTCTCTTTCGTTTTTCCCTATGCAAATGTATTATGCTTTGTTCAACATAAATTCACGCACACAACCATGTGCGCACCCACACTATAACACGCTTACCAACACACACACACACGAGCCACTCATTCAGCAGAGCAACAAAAGCTGCGCATTGGGCATTGTAAATCATAATCAAAACAATAGAACAAATGAAGCTAATGTGCCGCATGCAAAACAACAATCGGATGAATGAGTGGCAGAGAGAAAGAGAGGGAGAAGGACTGGGAGGAAGCAGGATATATGATCCTGGTCGTGACAAACCATTAAAGCTGGAAAATTAAATTGCAGAATATCTGCTAAAGCGTTTATCCTCCAAAGGGAGGTTAAGTTTATTGGAAAAAGGAATTTCGTATACAATTTTTATAATGCAATAAAAAAAATTAATTTAAATACAGATTTTTTATATTTATATTTTAAGCAGAAATTACATTTTTAGGAACTACCAATAAAAGCTATAATATGAAAGTAAACCTAACTATATCAAATTAAAATATTAAAACGGTTGTAAAAATATATTATTATAATTCTATTTTAAATCCTATGCTTCCATAAAAAATATTATTTAATAACAATAAAGATTTATAAAAATCTAGGGGTTTATTTTTAAGGTAAGTTTATTTAGGGTATCCAACTATCCCAATTTATAGCACACTTTTCTGGGCGAGAATTGTCAATGTCTGCTGACCGATGCATTGTGATTTACTGCCTGTGCGCATGTTTATTTTATTTAATTAATATTTCTCATTCAAGAAAAAATAATAATAAAATCGTTCACAACAATGGCGCGTAATTAGTGGGAATTGATTTATGCGACTGCCGGCGCATTGATATTACCGATCGGAACGTATAGAATAACGTGCTTAATGAAATGCAAATAGTGCACAAATGGAACCTGATTGAAATTCGCGATATTTAAAAATGATTACCTGCAACGCTGTGTGTAGCTGGTTGACATCGGGTCAGATCTACTTTTTCAAGCATTTGGTCCCCTTCAACCAGCTGTAGCCAGTGGTTGATGACAACGAAACACTAGTGAACTGTGATAGATGGCAAACATAAATTAATATTATTATAAAAATTCAAACAATTGATAAATTGACACAGAACATAAAATTCACTAGAAATATAAAGGCAATTAATCTGTAAAAATGTGGAAAATAACTAAGATAAATATTCAATTTAATCCAGAGATGTAAATAAAGCCAGCTGCAAATCCGATGAATTTATGGGAATTATGCGGAATATTTTTTATCCTTTCTATGCGCTTCATTTTTAGATTCTTGATTGTTATTTGCCAACATTTCGCTGCATTCCAATGAAGTTCAACTATGCAAACAATCTCGGCCAGCAGCAAAAGCATAAAAGGAAAAAAAGATGAAACAAAAGATTTATTAAGAAAAAAAATGTAATATTATTACATATTGAAGTAATTTAATAATAAAAAAAAAAAAAATAAAATTAAAAACAACTATTATTGTAATTAAATAAAATTTATTACTAGTTTAATAAAAATCTTTAAACCTATTCCTAACAATATAAGCCCATCATTGACTTATTGTTAACGGAAAGCACAATAAGCTGGATAAGAATGTCAGGTTAAGTCACAAAAGATAATAGTCCATTCAAGAGATTATCAAAAGCAGATCGGATTTCTCAAAATGCACTTGGCAGCTTCACCCAACCTAGAGACCAAATGCAGCAAATTTTGCTGTGCAGACAATTTGATGTATTTCGGAAAGCCAAATAACTCATTTTCATGTTGAATGCATTACGGCTAAGAGCATTAAGTATTTACCGATTAAATATTCGCACAGATGCACACAGTCGGTGGATGTATTATATGCAAATATTTGATGAAATTCTGGCAATGGCAAATACATGAGCTGCGCTCAAGAAAATCAAACATTTTCCATTATTCAATGGCATTTCACTTGATCCGCAATTCTTATCCATTGCTTCGATTTGGGTAAAGCTCTATGAGCGCGGGTTATCAAACAAAATGAATTTAATTAATTTTATAGCCATGTGGAGTGGGCCAAAATGGCCACTCAATTAGTTAACAAGCTGCGTTGGCATTTGCACTCTAATCAACTCGACTGCTTCGTCCACAATCTATTCAGAAAATTTGGCAAATCAAGTGATATGTAAATAGCCCCCGCTGCTGAAACAAACTGCAATTAATAAAATATCTGAAGAGTGGACTAGGAATGTGCTAAATTAAATAAACTGACCACTCGGGCATTTAATTTATGGCATCAACTAAGTGAAAAGTTTTAATTGGGCACTGGAAGTGGATAAATTAGCAAATGTTTTACCTTATTTAATATTTGGCAAAAAAAATGTGCTTCTAAAAAACTGTTATAAATTTAAAGGATATTTTTTAAAATAAGATAAAAAAGACCTCTAAAAAGAAAACGCTTTGCTGGCCAAACTTGATCAAAGACAACTTTGGCTCGGCACGTCCATAAATTATTCAATTATGCGCAGCCCGCAACGAAACGAATCGAATCGAAACCAATCGAATCGAGCTGAACTCAACTCAACTGAATTGAAAGTTCAAATTGCATTGAATTTCAAAATGGTCAGCGTTTAATGAAGGCCCAGCGAAATGGAGCAGAAGTGAAAAATAAAATAAAAGAGCCAAACACCCTCGGACTTTTTTTCTGGCCACGAGAAATTCAATTTAATGTAGATTTACATGCAGTCGTCGAGGTCGAAGCCGTTTTTCTTTATTTTTCAATCGGAACGCTTGACAAATCACCGAGGGGTGGCTGAAGTGGGTGGTTATGGGGTGGTAGGGGATGGACGTTTCCCGCGGCTGTGTCATGAATGAAATCGACATAAAACCAACGTGACCAACGTCATTAATTATCGCCGGCAACGCCGTGCACTGCTAATTACGACATGGCCAGCTCGCTGAATTCCAGCCTCATTCCTCATCAGGATCTGAACTCCAGTTGCCGGTCATTCGGGACAAGGGGGACTAACCGGAATCGTTGGCAACATAATGGCGCACACTTTGCATTTTGGCCTCGAATAAAAAGTGTGTGCGGCCTGCCGCAAATTTATATGATGGCCAAATTGTGCCACTCTTGTTGGTCACGGAAAAAAAAATATGAACTTTAATCCTGAGAGTAGTAATACCTACTAGCTATTGGCATTGCTGGGTCTTAAATTATATACAAAATACAACGTTCATTTACATCAATAAATCTTTAAAAATATGGGCTAGAATCTGCTTTTCAACCTAAATCTTTCATTCATTTTGTAAGGTTTTTTGTTTGAAATAGCCAATCTTTAGATTGTCAAAATGTATTATTAAAGTGCAACCCAGTCAAAATGACCGAATGTCCAAAAAAAATATATTCATTATCTGCCCGACAACCAAGCACAACAAATCCATCATAAATAAACCCATATTTGTAAGGGCCAAACTCGATGCTAACGGCATTTTCCCCCAATTCATTTGACATTGCATTGTGTACCATTTTCTGTAGGAAAATCCTAAGCGAACTGGCGACCAAGTGAATTTTGACGAAGTTCTGAGGAATCCAATGAAGCGTCAAGGATAATGGAAGGACCTCGAGCGGCAAGATGAAGAGCTGCTGACCGCACCATTCATTTTGTCATTTTGCAAACAAGTCGCTGTAAAAGATAAGTCGCGCCAAGTACGAAACTTAAGCCACTGAAGCGTAAGATACACACAACAGCAACAGGACGAGGACGCCAAGGAGTAGCGGCGGTGGAGGAGTAAGAGGATTTCCAACAGGAAGGAATAAAGGAGCAGCAGCAAGAAGTACCAGTAAGGACTCAAAGGAGCATTTTTCCAATTGCAGGATATTCGACAGCACTCAATAACAAAAATCACACTAATTTGCGAAAAATATAAAAAAATATTAGTTACATTGAATTAATTATAATTAAATTAAATGTTGTCTTTGACTTTTAAACATTTTGTTATGGCTTTTAAAACGATTTAAACTAAAATATTAAAAGTACATTTCAGAACAAAAGTATTTAATAAAATTTAATTGTAGCGCTAAAATTGAAAAATAGATTCCATTGAAAAATCTAAAAATTGTCGAACACTACAAAAACTG